ATGCACGCTAAACGATGATGGATGCCCGTGGAGCGGCAGACGCGAAAACCACTAACGGATGTCCATTCCGTGGGACGGCGAGAGAGCGTTGGTCGACTGCTAAACGAGAGTCGAGTCGAGGCCATGTGCGAGAGCAGACGCTTAACGATCGATCGATCGACCGTAGAGCAGATCGCTAAACGGATTGAGTCAATGACCCTGCTGAGCGCATGTGCGACGCGGAGAAATTACCGAAGCATGAATCGGATGCCCACAGCTGCTAGTGGGCTGGACGGCCTCAACGTGATGGGATCATAGCGACGGCTCGGCAGGGGGGGGCGCCACACTGGTCAAGGACCGGCGCTGCTCGGCGCCGGTCGGCGACCCCTGTGAGCGGCAGCGGGCAAACAGATCGCATAGATTGCGTGAGCAGCAGACAGCACGCCTAATGTCAACCACGGGATGACTCGGACTGTGCCCCACCCGCGGTCGCGCGGCGGGCCCCCTGGGGCCACGGCGTGGGTCCCCCCGGGCCCTACGCACGATGCCCTGGCCCGCGGCAGACCGCCTAAACGATTGCATGAATGCCGTGAGAGGCAGACGCTAAACGACCTGGCGTGATGATGGCCGTGAGAGGCAGACGCTAATACGATGATGATGCCATGAGAGGGCCAGACGCTAAACGATGATGATGCCTGAGGGCCACGGGGACGCTAACGAATGCATGATGACCTTGAAGCCGGCAGACGCTAAACGATGATTGATGCATGGAGGCAGTACGCTAAACGAGTATGATCCATAGAGAGGCAGACGTAAACGTATGATGCATGCCATGTGAGAGGTCAGACGCTCTAAACTACCCGCATTGATGGAGTTAGCCATCGCAGAAGAGCAGCGCTAAACGATGATGATGCCGTGAGAGGCGCCAGGCGCTAACGACGATATGGATCAAGTAGCCGGCCCCGTGAGCGGCAGACGCTAAATGATGATGATGCCTGTGAGAGGCCAACGCTAAAACGCAGTCCCTGATCCATCAGGAAGCATTGCCGTAGAGCCGGCAGGACGCGCTAAACTGATGATGATGCCTGTGAGAGGCAGACGCTAAACTGATGATGATGCCATGAGAGGCAGACGCTAAACGGATCATTTGCCATTGAGAGGCAGACGCTAAACGATAGATGATTTGCCGCTGAGGCAGGCAGCGCTAAACGATGACTAATGGCCGGGACCCGTGGAGGCGCGGGCAGAAGAGGCGCCGTTAAACGATGATGCCGGACTTAGGCACCCACGCCTAAACGCATGATTGGACTCGCCCGTGAGAGGCGCAGACGCTAAATGATGACTGATGACCGTACGAGAGAGCGCCAGACGCTACATGGAGTGAGCGGACCGCCTGGCCCCGTGTGCGAGGCACTGCAACGCTAACGATGAGCAGTGCCGTGCAGTGAGGCAGACGCTAAACCGCATGGATGATGGCCCATGGAGAGGGCGAGGACGCGGAGCATCCCACCTCTGACTAGACATGGGGCCACGGCGGAGAGAGTAGAGCCAGGCCGAGGGACGGGAACCCCGACATGACCCATAATGATAGGGGACCCTCGCCTGGTGAGAGAGCAGACGCCGTTTAAACGCATTGATGATGGCCGTAACCGGCAGACGCTTTAAGGCCCACAATTATAGAAAATCGCTTTGCCCTCACCCGGACCGGCCCTGGAAAAGCTTTCGGATAGGTAGATAGCTATGCTGTCTCTTCTTCGTCTCTTGCACTTTCTGGCCGACCGCGGCGTGGCGCTCCTATGTAATCTCCGTTCGACACAACCTCGCTCGCGTGTCTACATGCCTCGGGGCGCCCCCGCGCGTATACGGCCCGCTATGAGTATTACAGGACAAGCTTGGTACTGTATAATTGTACCCGAACCAGTCTGGCCAGTGAGGGTACGAATCATTGTGAAAAAAGAACAAAGATGAGAAAGGACAGAGGCTCCGAAATAATATAATTCGAGGTCCGCGCCGTTATTTGGCGGGTCGCTCGCGGTGAGGGCAAACAAAACAATTTTTTATGCCTGTGATCCCGGGCCTAAACGCAAGCAGTGAGAGTGAGGCAATTCGGCTTTACCGCAGAGAAGCGGCGGAGTATGGCAGCAGCCGAAGGATAAACCCGTAAGCAGTGCAGAGGCAGGCCCGGCCGGGCCCGCGATGGAAGACGTCAAGCAGCGGCGTAGTGAGAGCCAGACGGCTAGAACGCAAGCAGTGAGAGCAGTACCGCTAACGTGTAAAGACACGCCGGTGTGTTGAGAACCGCCGGGGGGGGAAAGGGAACCACACGCCCCGGAGAGCGAGAACCGGCTCCGGCGGCTGTGGACCGCGCTAACCGGCCGTCATGCCACTGCAGCTGTGTAGAGGCGGCCCGGCCCTGACAACGCGTCAGCCGCAGGCGCCGGAGCCTTGCCCAGGTCGACTAACACGTATTATCCCAGCTTGAGGCGGAGCGAGCTGGCTATATCGTGGCGAACAAGTGTAGTACGGCAGGTGGCCCCCGCTCACACGCTCGACGCAGCGTGTTGATGAGAAGTGGAGCGGAGGGGGGGCCCTGCCCGACGCCGCCCGGCCTCGACAACGGTAACTGCACAGGTGAGAGGCCGACGCCGAGCCTAAAAGCGTGCGCGGCAGTGGAGAGCGGAGAACGATAGGAACGGGACCGGGTTGCGGCACGTGAACGGCGGAGTGTGCGCGGGCCAGCGCAGGCCAAAGCACACGAGGGCGAGGGGGGAAAGAGGCGGTGAAGGCCCGCGTGAGAAGAAGGTTAGACAGGTGGAGAGGCGGCGGAAAGCGGAGGGGATTGGGGAGAATCAGGGGGCCGGGAAGGCCGGCAAAGGCTAAGCGGGGCTAAGCCCCGAATCGAGCAGGAACGCGGGGTCGTTGCCGACGTAGAGAGCACGGTAAGCAGATAGACAGTGAGAGCACTGAGATGGCGAGGCGCGGCGCGGTCGTCGCTGCTATAACGCAGTCGCGGGCTTTCGAGCCATGGCGTCGCAGAGGCCAGGGCCCTGGCCCGGGCGCTCCAACCGCTGAGCTATGTGGGGCCGTGCCAGGATGCCGAGCCCACGTCAGGAGCTCTGGCCAGACGAGCGTGCGCTTGTTCGTTTGCGACGCCGATTCTTCCTGTCGCTGGCGGTATAACGCACTGCGCTCTCCCTTTACACACTCAAAGTCTTTTTTGCTCTGGTTCTGTCCCAGCGCCAATGTCCACTGGCGGCCTCGCTACTCTCTCAAGCTACGAGGACGCCTTCAAGCAGTTCCCTACTCCCACAAACTCTCTCTCCTCTCGCTCCAGCGGACGTCCTCCTACTAGCCAGGACACTTCTTCCTCGTTCCCAGCCACACGCTCCCGCTGTTCACGTCCACAACTTCTCTCCTCTCCCACACACACTCCCTACTTACGATCAACGTCTCTTGCTCCTTCTCGCCTACACACACTCCGCGCGCGCCTCGTTACCAGTCAAGCTTCTTCTCCCTCTGTCCCACACGGCACTCTACACTGCCCCTCTACGCCACAAGCTTCCTCCCGTCCGCTCCTGCCCATGCACAACCGCCTATTTCTCCCCTACTTACCACACAACCTATCATCCACGCGTCATTCCCCACACACTCCCTACTTACACAACTGCTTCCCCTCTCCCCACACACACTCCCTACTACCACAACTTCTCCCCTCTCCCACGACACAGGCTCCCTAACTACACGCCACAATCGCACCTCTCTTGCGCCCCTCTCCCACACCACAAAACAGAAATTCAAGAAGACGACGGGGACGGCAAGCCTCCTTTCTCTCAGATGTCTCCTTTCTCTCACATAGCATTCCCCTACATGGGCTCTGGCGTACAGGTTGCACTTCTCTCATCAGAGGCGATTTTCCCTATCTGTACAAGCTTCACTTCTCTCCCTTCACACACTCCCCTTCCTTTTTTCCCAGCACCACACCCCTATGTATGTGGATGTCATCGCTGCGAAACGGCCAAGCGACAGGAGGCGCTGTCGAAAAAAGGCTGGAAACCTTTTCAGATAGCCGGCTTGCAGCAGCCCAACACTGCACTCTTGAACATCGTAAAATTTAGTGTAAATTGCCGGAGGTATACATACGCAGCGGCTGCGAGAGGATTGAAACGGAGCGGCGAGTGCGAGTCCGCGAGTGACAAACGGTCCGAGCTGACTTGTGTACGCTGTGCGGGAAGCTCCCGTGATCTTGACGGAATTGTTGTGCAGGCCAGCGGTCCATCCGGTGGTGTTGACTCCCGCCTGGGACAAGAGCGCTATGCTCTCGCCTATGCCCTACATGTACTAAGCTATGTCTCTGCTCTGCCCTGAGAAGCCGACTGGGCCGGGGCGCTTGCGGCTACGATGAGAACGACCAGGGGTAGCGGCCTGCCAAGGGGGTATTAGCCGGTATTTTTCACAAATGTCCAATCAGAAAATTTGGCTAGCACGTGCGAACCCGCACGAATTTCAAAATCAAGCCACATTGCAGTTATGTTCAATCATCATATTAGTCTATGGACTGCCAAGCCCCCCGACTTGTTGAGAACTCCCAGCCTCCATTGCTCTTGTGACCTCCTCTTTTTTGTGGCAGCCGCAGCGGCAGTCGCGTTGCTTGAGTACTCAACTTGTTTCACAAAAGTTCCATTTCTACCCCTGCAATACGCTATTCATATCTTTACTCAGATGTTTGCGGAGATGCTGCAGCCGATCTTGCTTAGAAGTTGTGACAGACAGATGATGCCCAGTGGAACTGCAATGCAGACGCGGGAAAATCGTAACAAAACCGAAAGTTGGTCTTTGGGAGCGGTTCGATTAAATTCCTCTTTAAATTATAACATACAAACTACGTTCTACATTTTGGTGCTACATGACAATTCTGCCTCGTCCTTGTTACAGAACAACCGTTCGCCAAGACGCGGAGTCGTCGCGACACGGCAGGAGCGGCCCGCCGACGCCGACCGTGGCGTGATCGAGAGCGTGCTTACGTGGGGTAGCCGTGCAGGAAGGGACACGTGATGCCCTTGAAGCAGCTTCCCTCCTCCCAGAAGCGGCACGTGATGCCGGATATGTTGTGTGAGAATTTGCAGTCGGCACGGCGACAGTGACCCTCCAGGAAGAAGCTGCACGGCCGCTTACACATCTCTGCAGCAAGTACGTAAAAACTTTAACAACGGCAAAACGCAAGTAATGCGATAATGGCGGTTAACAAATTGTTACAGCGATACAGACCTTATTACATTATTGCATTAGTCGTATTGCATAATCGTCACAACAAACTGCCTGTGAAAAAAAAACAGTAACGACCATGACTTGCTCTGACGCCGACAGCGGGCGCCACACTTGATTTCCACGAACTAGCGATGCATAAAGCAGTTAACGTCGCGTCTCAGACAAGATAGACGAGCACTAAATCTCAATTGTCCTTTATATGACCAAACGTAAAATTCCGATTTTCCACGACTTTACAGGACTATTACCACTATTTACCCAAAACTCTCCGGGAATTCTCGTGGGAACCTTAAACCGAGGGGATATCTACATTATACGTGCGTCGTATCGAACGACAACATCGCACTGAGAAGGACACTGCCATGCATGAACCCATGCTCTGCTGCTAGTACAGAACTCCACGACTGCTGAGCATAAAGGTGAGCGTAAAGGCAGTGTTCTCATTAGGAACCGGCCACCGGCCGAATTGACCGTCTACTCTGCTGTTTCGGCCGGTTACAATTGGCTCATGTTTTTTTGTTTTTTTCTTTGCATTTAGTTTGCTCTAATTATTCTCCAAAGTGAAAGTGTTTTATGAGCTACTACTAATAAATCAGTTGAGTATATTTGTATGCATGTTATGTGCACAAGAAGCATTGTTTTGTTTTTGAGTAATGATTACTCTTATAATTACTAAATCGTCATAATTTGGAAACTTTTTGTGAACTCTGAATGTACCAGGAGAAACCAAATTGGAAAAAAGGACCATACTGTAATCCAAATGTGTCTGTTTACTGCAGCTCAGAATACACCAGATTGCATCTCAGAGCATCTAGGTCTAAAAAAAAAAATTGGGGGGGTACCCCCCCCCTGCCCACACACCGCCACGGCCTGTTGCAAAAGCATTTCAGCCTGTTAATATAAAAGACAATGAAAACCCTGAAAGGTAAAGGTGATCGTTACCTTTTGCGGCTCGCACTCCGAGCTTGCGAGGAACCTGCACGTGGAACGGCTTGCTGCTCTTCCTCCACTCCTCCTCGAGATCGGAGGAGAAGACACACTTCTCGCGAGGGATGTAGAGTGTCTCGAGACTGCTGGCTGTTTGTCCCTCACCCGTCTCCTGCAAGCAGCCACCGCACCGGCCATCAGCCACACGCAGATGCACACACGCACATCACATGCGCGCACGCACACACACCATACACGCGCACACACACATCACATGCGCGCACACACACACACGCACGCACACACACACACCATACACGCGCACACACACATGCACATGCGCGCACACACACACGTACACACACACACACGCATGCACGCACGCACGCACGCACGCACGTACAGACACACACATACATGCACATAGGTATAAACATGTAGACATGCACAGATACACATGCACAAACATGCAGACGCAAAAGCGCAGACGCGCACAGACACACACGTACAGACAGTGATAGTGACAGTGACAATGACAGTGATAGTGCTAGTGACATTGACAGTAATAGTGACAGTGACAGTGCTAGTGACAGTGACAGTGACAGTAACAGTGACAGTGATAGTGACAGTGACAGTGAAAGTGACAATGACAGTGACAGTGACAGTGACAGTGACAGTGACAGTGCTAGTGACATTGACAGTGCTAGTGCTAGTGACATTGACAGTGACAATGACAATGCCAGTGACAGTGCTAGTGACAGTGACAGTGACAATGACAATGACAGTGCTAGTGCTAGTGACAGTGACAGTGACAGTGACAGTGACAGTAACAGTGCTAGTGCTAGTGACAGTGACAATGACAATGACAGTGCTAGTGCTAGTGACAGTGACAGTGACAGTGACAGTAACAGTGCTAGTGCTAGTGACAGTGACAATGACAAACAGTGACTTCCGCTGCCTCGCTCTCCCGCCGCACATCTTCCATCACTACTGGCCATCGGTGAACTCTCATCACCAGAGAATCATCATCAGCGTCGTCGCGACGCCCCTGGTGGTGAATCCGGGCGGCTGTGAACCAGACTGATGAAATGCGCTCGCCTGGCGCGTTGCGCCGTGTCTGTCCGGCACGACGGTGCGGGCGCCTCTCCCGCACGGGACGTTCGCCGCCCGCCCTGCCCGCCTCGCGTCGCTTCCGCGGCTCGCTCCTTCCTGAGCCGATCGGACGACGCATGTCGTGTGCTACCCAGTTCGCCACGGACGTCCGAGGCGACCCAGGTGCAGCCTTGATGCGGCCCACCGTGCCCAACGGGGACTGCCCGCGGACCGACGCTGGGGGGGGGTTGAGCCCACATCGTCAGCCGCAGGCCCCCTACCGCCCGCGCTAACGCTCCTCCTCCCGACATCGTCACGCAGCGGCGCCCTGGTGTCGAGTTCGCCATGTTGTCGATGTCGGCACAGTCAGCGCCGCCCTGCTCATCAGTCACTCAGCTTCATCTTCTCGACGAGGCCGTGTGCATCGTGTCGCCACCGCTAGGTGGCGCGCGCTCGAACCACGAACGGCCGCATCGCCGTCGCCTCTCCCCTCGCGCGCCGCCGTCGCCTGATCGGCCACGCTGCAAGGCTGAGTAATCGCGGCTCGGACCCGCAGCGCCGAACGCCGCCCCGCCGCGGGTCCACCCGTCGCCGGGGGCGAAGCTGGAAGTCGACGGCCGGCGGCGACGAGGCGCCACGTCGCGTCCACGCCCGCGATCGAGCGAGCCGCGCCGCTCCAGCTGCCGGAGTCGTCGGTCGTTCGTCGTCGCGCGGCGACCCCATCCGGGAGTCTGCCTGCCACCGGGATCGAGTCGGGAAGTCGACGCACACAACCTCTCCGAGCGCCTTTGCTCGCACAGGCTCGCATTGTTACGCTCCTGCCGCGGAAGCTTTCCACAACGGTTCCCCGCTCACTATGTCGTGCTGGGAACTCTTCCATCCATCTCTCATAGCCGATTCAGATGCTTCTGTTAAGTTACGTTTTTCTGTGGGTGGTTTCCACACTGGTTCTGTGATCACTATATTATTTTGGAACCCTTCCATCCATCCTCTCATAAGCCACCTCAAGATGCCTTCTGTTAAGATTTTGTTCTTCTGTGGGTGGTTTCCACACTGTTCCCTGCTTAATATATTATTTTGGGAACCATTCCATCCATCTCTCATAGCCACCTCTGATGCTTCTGTTATGTTTGTTCTTCTGTGGGTGGTTTCCACACTGGTTCCCTGCTTATATATTATTTTGGGAACCATTCCATCCATTCTCTCATAGCCCACCTCAGATTCTTCTGTTAAGTTTTGTTTCTTCTGTGGTGGTTTTCCACACTGGTTCCCTGCTTAATATATTATTTTGGGAACCATTCCATCCATCTCTCATAGCCACCTCAGATGCTTCTGTTAAGTCACATTCCTCTCTGGGCGCCTTCCACACTGGTTCCCTGCTTAATATATTATGCTGGGAACCCTCCCATCCATCTAGATCTCTCACGGCCGACTCAGATGCATCTGTCAAGTTACATTCCTCTGTGAGTGGCTTCCACACTGGTTCCCTGCTTATTATATCACGCAGGGAACCCTTCCATCCATCTCTCATAGCCACCTCAGATGCTTCTGTCACATTACACTCCTCTGTGGTGTCTCCCACACTGGCCCCCTGCTCGCTATATCACGCAGGGAACCCTTCCATCCATCTCTCACAGCTACCTCCACGGTATTTAACATGTTACGTTGCTCTACGGGTGACTTCCACATGGGTTCCCTGCCAACCAAGTCGTGTTGGGAACCCCACGTTGCATTGACGTCCACGGCGCTGACCTCTGAGCGCAGCAGGGGTGGGGACAGTGGCGGCAGGGCGGCGGGGCGGGGTCTGCGCACGCGTTCCAACGCCCGCTCTCCCTCCGCGAGATCGTGCTGCGAAGGCCCACCTCTGACACTCGTGGAAGCCACCTCGCGCCGCATCTCTCGTCCCGCTCGCCCCCTCGAGCAGCCGCGCCCACGCCCGCTCCCGGCTAGTCTTCCGAGTGTCGCTGCGAGGCCCAGTCGCCCACGGCAACCAGGGATGCATCTCCGCGGGAGGTATCCAGGCAGGGTCGCCTGCTAGCGACGCTCCCAGCTCGCAACACTAGCGACGGCCCGCGGCAGAGGCATCACTCGTTGTCGTGAGATGATGTTTGCCGGGAGCTTTCGACAAACGGTTTTCCCCGCGTCACTTAGGTCATGCTGTGAACCCTTCCATCCATCTCTCGTAGTCACTCGTCAGCCGCTTCTGTCAGCGCTACGTCCCCTGTGGGTGTATTCCACACACTGGTTCCCTGCTTATTATATTATGTTGGGAACTTTTCCATCCATCTCTCATAGCACAACGCAGGTGCTTCTGTCATGTTTTGTTCCTCTGTGGGTGCCTTCCACACTGGTTCCCTGCTTATATATTGTGTTGGGAATCCTTCCCATCCATCTCTCATAGCCAAATTCAGATGCTTCTGTCACGTTACATTCTCTGTGGGTGTTTCCCTACAGGTTCTCCCACTCGTGAGCTTTTGCTGGATCCCAGCCTACGACGCTCGCACCTATCCCGACCGCCATCTCTAACGATGAGCTCTTGATTAGCATCTTCGCACACTACCGGTTCGCTGCTTACTAAGTCATGCTGCGAATTCTTCCATCCGACTGTCACAGCCGCCTCCGACGCATTCAAAGATGCTGCCTCCTCTCGGTCAGATTCTTTTTAGCGGGTGTCTTCCACATCAGTTCCCCGCTCACTAAATCATCTGGTCGAACTCTTCCATCCAGTTTTCACAGCGGCTCCATCGTAATTCAAGATGCTGCTCTCTCTCGTCGGCGTTAATGTCTTCTCAACGGGTGCTTCCACAACATCAGTTCGCCCTCACTAAATCATGCCTTCCGAACCCTCACTCGTGCCCAGAGCCAACTGCAGGCAGGTCGCTCACACTAGTTCTTCGTATCGGCGCTTTCCACCTACGGCTTGTGGGCGTGCGGTCGACGTGTTGCCGTGGCGACGAACGTCCTTCCCAGCAGAGGGGAGGAGCGAAGCCGGCTTCCGTCGATGGCGCGCGTCGCCCCGCACCACACCTCGCAACTCGCATTCCTGTCGGGCGGTGTCAGCAGGCAAGCTCCCGAGCCGGTCGCACCGTGGCGATCGATTCGCACCCAACCGGCCCAGGGCTTCTCCTCAGTGAGTCCGCCGCCATCCGCCTCCGCCTCCCCATCCGTGAGACTGATGTCCGTGTCGCCCGTCGCAACCGCTGCCGCGCCTCTAGCTTCGTCTCCATACGACGCCGTGGCGGCGGCAGCGCCCGGCCATCTCCTTCCTTCCACCGACGGCAGCGTGACTACACGCTGACTAGATTTCCTCTACTCTGTCCGACGCGGCCTCAACGCTGCCCAGGCGTCCCGTGCTCCCTCGTCCTCCCCTCGGTCCCGCGCCTTCTCCCACGCGTCCCTGCACGCGGCGTTCGACGCCCTCGCGTCGGCCTGCCGGCAACCCAGGCCGACCGACGTGGGCGCCGAGTCACGCCGGCAGCCCGCGGCGACGACACGCCGGACCCGGCGTCGCGGCCAACGCCCGGAGCATGCTCGTTCCTGCCGTCTCGGCGGTGCGCGGCGGCGAAGCGCGCGGCATCGGCGCCGAAGGTCGACGTACACACCGAGCGGCGGAAAGGAGTCGTGGAGGAGGTCGTCGATGGTCCGCGCCGCCGCTAGCGCGGCAGCCTCGCTGCTGCTGGCCGCGGTCGAGGATCGTGTCGCCGTCGAAGATCGTTGCGAGCTCCGCCACGCGCGCGCAACGCATCGAGGACCCGCCACGCCACGGCGGCGCGCCTCTTTAGCTTCGGCGGCCGCCGCCTGGTCGCCACCGAGCGGACGACGTCGCGCTGCCCACGCGTCGATACTCCCTCCTCCTCGCTCCTCCTA